AGTAGGTTTTGACCGGCGCCGCAACATGTGGTCGAGCATTATCATGCAGGAGAATAATTTTGTCATGCCTGGAGTAGTAGTGGACGCGTTTTTCCTTGAGTGCTCGGTTCAATCTCAATTGTGTTTGGTAGAGAGCTCCAGTAATGATCTCGTTCGGTTTGAGCAACTCATAATACACGACACCAAGCTGATTCCACCAAATACACAACATGAGTTTTTTTCCATGAATATTCGGCTTGGCTGTCGATGTTGAAGCATGGCCAGGTGGTCCTCATGATTTCCTCTTCTTTATCGTAGTGGATCCATTTTTCATCACCAGTGACTATACGATGCAAAAAACCCTTTCATTTATGCCTGGCAAGCAGCATTTCACATGTGAAAAATCGGTGTTCAACGATTCTCGGCTTCATATGGAATCCAATTCCCTTGCTTTTGAATCATTCCCAATGATTTCAAACGATATGAAATTGTTTGTTGAGTCACTCCTAATGTAAGTGCAAGTTCTTTTTGCGTTTAACACGAATCTTCATCCAATAATGCTTCTAATTCCGCGTCTTTGTATACTTTCGGCCTTCCGCTACGTTCTTTGTCTTCGACGTCAAATTCACCGTTCTTAAACTTTTGAAACCACTCACGACAACGTCTCTCATTTAAGGCAGCATCACCATATGCTTTTACAAGCAATCTATGAATGATGAACCTCAGCTGCAGATTTCTTCAAATTAAAAAAGTAAATCAAAAGTTCCTGCAAATGACGCTTATTCGACTTAAAACGACGCTTACTCGACATTTTCGTACAAAAAAAAATATATGATGCTGATATAAAATCGCTAATATTTCAAGGTTATGATGTTGCCGGATGTCCAATCTTACGATATGTCGTTTTACATCAAACAATTTTAATTATTTATTAGTGGCGCTGTTTTTTGCAAACGGCGGAAACTTATTTGTACTCCCATTATATTGTAACTGATTTCGCCAACAAATTATACAATCTCGTACCACATATTCCTCGTGTAATTGTGTACATTAACGGTACTTATAGCTACATTCCTAGCAATTTTCGTACTCTCCGACAATCATTTGGTATTCATAAGAGGCAACATTTACTCAAATCTATGCTGATTGTTACACCTGGCTATATATTCGATATTCAAGATTCTTCTTTTTCAAACAATCAAGACAATAACGCTGCGATCCTCTAAAATGAATTTTATAAGAATGTTGAGAGAATACGAGAATGTTTCCAAGGAGATCCTAAATGATAGTAATCCCTAATGATAGTAGATAAAAAGATATCGGGATGCTACAGAGATATTACTCGTCTTGGAATTCGATGGAAAATTTAGCCAGCACTTCTAAAACTAAGACAAAGTCAACTCCCTACAGAGGAAGCTAATGATTCACGAATAATCACTAACAATAATAAGATGAGGTGGATCGAAGAGACCAAAAATGACCACATCAAATCTATCTTTAATAATAATCAATAGGTATCGTTCTTGTGTTCAAATGGAAGAAAGTAAATGAAGTGAAAGTTGTTCAAGCATTTGTGGAAGTTGAATATTTAAACACTTAGAGATGGATACACTTGAATGCTCAATATATAAGTAACTACCGACTTAGAGTATCAGAGTAAAATCATTGTCAAATTATGATCACAGAAAAGCGACGAAGTTGTGCCTATGGTCACAGAACATATATTAGGTGTAGTAAAAAGAAATCCATTATTTTTCCATTCAATTTCATGCAAAAATAATGGATTTCATTTTACTACACCTAATATAATGCAAATATATAGGATGGGCCATTGTAATCTTTCCACACTGATAACTCGAAAAGGGTGTATTTAGGGAAAAATGTTTCAGACAAAAGTTTTATGACGAGGAGGATATAAAATATCATGATTTGACCTTGGGTGGCATTATTAGGACAAGGTCACTTTGAGTTTTTTAAATAAAATCCTCATGCATATTTTTATAACTTACCTCGAGAGTTTTTCAAAACATTATAATCAATAGATAAATCAATTGATAGAAAGAAACTACATAATTGTTTATTTAAAAAATTATATTTTTGTATATGTATTTTTTTTAAAGCAACTATGTGTTTCCTTTCCACCAATTGAATCATCTATAACATCAATATATTATTTCATATCTCTAAAAATAGCGGAAATATTCTAAATGGACTGCCCCATCTTGTATATATCATATATAATGAAATTAAATAAATGGTGCGTATTCTTGTATTCTAGTTATTATAACATAAAAAAAGATAAATTTGTTATATCATGCATTTTGTAATATATTAATAGGATATCGCAATGAGATATCGTGATGAGATATCGCTTGATGACCGCATTATCCATATAGATAATCCTAATAATCTACCAGAAGATCGATGAAGAATTGAATATCCTTCGTGAATATCCGCACCTGATTTCTTAACTTATGGATCTTCTCAATATCATCTTTCGTTCTTGCTACATAGCTCAGTCAATAGATATCAATACTAAAAGATCAGAACGTAAATTTATATAAATACTACATAAAAACTATTAAATCAATCTATTTTTGTGATAGAATTGTTTAGTAAACAGTATTACTAAACTCGTATGCATCTAATAAATAATAAAGTAAATTTGAGTCAAAGTTAAAAAATAAATTTAATGGCTGTGTTCAGCAAAGAAAACTAATTAGTTAGGATTTAGTAATTCTTTAATATGACTGATTCTTGCTTTTAGATCTCCGCTAAATCTAAATGTAGGAATCAATTATATTAAAAAATTATTAAACGCTAACTGATTAGTTTTCTCTGTTGAACACAGCCAATGTACACAGAAAAATCATTTTTGCTGAAAAATCTAAAAATTTGTTTAAATATTAGATCTAAAAATAATTCTGTTGAATCATCAATATAATTATGTAGAATGACATAAAATAAATGTCAAAATTTTTTGCAATATTCAAGTCATCGTATTTGAATTCCAACATAATTATTTTGACAGTTCAACAAAATTATTTTCAGATCTGCATCTAGCTAAATTTTTAGATACTATATTTAGTTCTTCGTCAGCGAACATCTAGACACTCTTCCTTGACAGCAAATACCATAGACTATAGCTTTCGAAACATGTTATTACATGTTATTACAGCTACATTATTAATATTATTAAATAGGAAATTATAATAAAAAATTAATTCTCAATATTACAAATCTTATTGATTTAATTTATCCACGCAATGCGTTGAATTAATAATTATCGACCTAATATTGATAAATTTATTATTGATTAATTATTCTGCGAATTATTCGTTTCATTTGACTATTGATATACAATGCTAAGAAACCATAGATAAATCTGCAAATGAGAATCGCAATAAATGTGCCATCTACTGTCGAAAAAATGAAAAGGAGATTTTTTGAGGCGATGACGTATCATTAAAATTTGATATTTCGCATGATTTTGCATCACGATATTTGCATTCGTAAGACATAAAATAACTTATTATATAATTCGAACCTAAACTGTCGATTGAACTTATATTCAGAAGTCGATCGGTCCAACCTTTATTAAAATAATCTCGGATGTTCGCAACTTGCTGACTTGGGGCAGTCTCGCGCTGCGCGTCCATTTGGCGTGAGACAACTACCGTGTCTCTTGATTTTATGCAATTATGTATATAATAATTATGTATATAATTATTAACATTTTAAAAGTTAATATTTAATTTTGAGCAAGTCCTTTATATTTCTTACTGTAAAAAAATAAAGAGAAAATTAGTTCTTAAATATTTTAGCTCGAATATTGTATCTTATTTTTAATCGCTCTTACAAAATAAATCAATCTTAAGAGTTATGCACTCAGTAAACAACTTAATATCGATTCTGAACGACGAAACTTTATTGGAGAAGTGTTCTTGGCAAAGATATTCTTGGTAAGTTACCGTTTCTTTTCGAGAGAAGATACGAGAAAAGATATGACAATTTTTGGTTCTCTACCAGGAATCCCAAACCCAGGATTTCTCTAGTATATCAGACTAGTGCGCTGTCTGCTCTGCTGTGCTCGCTTTCATGCGTAGTATACTATTTAACTATTATATGCTACAATATTTAGAATAATAAAACTCAGCTCGCAAATCATATTATTATTTGTCTTTATTTTTAGGTGGCTTTATGGAATCAGATAATTCTTTTATCTATTTATTACTTAAAGAATGAAAACAATATTTATTTTGTAAATTTCTCCTATTTAACAATGCGTAATAAGGTTAAAAGTCAATACTTACAGTTGATTCTTATTATTTAAAACTATCTTAAGTACAGTCTTAAGACGTTGTAAACTAATCATGATAGAGCTGCATTAGAATCTTAAGATATTACTTATGATTATTAATATAATTATTATTTAGTTAAAGACTAGGTACACAATAGTACGCGTCGGTCTGAACGCCGCAGAAATAAGAATATTTATTCATTTACAATTTTAACTTGCTATTCTGTAAAAATAACTTGACAAACAGTTTTAAAATGCGTTTTGTCCAAAATTTATAAATTATTTTAGAAAATGAGAAAGAAAGACCACAAGGAAAAATCATCTTTACAGAAAATAACAATTTCCCAATCAGTAAGATGTAAAATATTAAACAAAATTGCTAAACAATTTCTAATAATGTTAAACAAATTTTGTTTGTATCTAGTTAAATAACATAACATACTTCAAATGTCTAGATTTTTTTCAGTATATATAAATTGATTTGAAAAAAATGCTTTTGAACATTTCAAAGTAGCTTATAATATGTATCTTTTATTATTGAACACTATGTCATCTTTAACGCAAAAAAACGCATTTTCAAAGTCTACTCTTCACTTGCCAGACACACACAATTTTATTAAAGGAAAAAGTTGTTTGTTTTAGCACAAAGTATCAGTAGTAGTACTTCGTATACAAGAACTTAAGGACACCATATATGTAGCTTAAATTATCTAGTACATACCATCATAACTTCGGGAGCTACATTCTTCATCTAAATAATCATCCAACATTTTTGTTTCTTCTATCATTTTCTGATATTCTTCCCAGTATTCGAGTAAGTGGCTATCACTTCCTATGTAGGTGGCACCATGTCCTCTATCCATGTTTCCGTTTTCTTTTGTATCCTTTGGGTATGTATAATCACCAAATAAAGAGTCTTTGGAAACATTTAGAAATGCTTTAAATAATGTGCTCTTATTCCAAAAGATATCTTATCTAAAAAGATATTAATCATGTCATAAGTTTTACTTAAATGTTATGGTATGCAATTGCTTCAATTATGTCTTTCTTATTGTTAGCTTAAACTCAAATAATTCAAAGAGATAACATCAGTATCTTTGCTTGATATAGAAAAGTATAAGAATGTCTATTATCCCTAATATATAAGAATCTCTATTATCACTAAATGTAAAAATCTTCATTAAGTCTATTATAAATAATATTAGAAATAGTATGAAAAAATATTATTATAAATGATTATATAAAATATGATTATATGGTAACTGATATTTTAAGGACAGATTAAATGGAAATTATAATTTTTATTAATCTTCAATAATATTTCGCAGATAAAAAAAATGGATTAAGATAAATTTTTCAATTCATCATCTACTGAACTTATTTCATATCAAACAATTTAAAAATGTTATACTATTTACTTATTTCAGGATTTGACGAATGGACTTTAATCCAATAAAACCCGGTGAATTTTATTGAGTTGGATCTATTAAAAATAACCCACTTAAAAAACTCAAAATCCACCAAAAAATCCAATTAAAATTTAATAATAGTAATCACTAAAGGCGATTACTGATAGAAAACATTGACATTCAAAATAACAGAAATTTTTTTTGATGTACGAAGATCTAGTTTTTTGTAGAGAAATTTTCAAAAATTTCAATTTTTTCAAAACTAAAAAATTTTAAACAGGCACAATTTTTATCCCATAAATCAATATTCGCAAAAATCTCACACATCGCACATTTCGGGTCAATTCCGACACGTGACCCCCACTTCTATGGCAAGCCGTTTTACTTTTTAATAGCATAAAAGAAATTTAGTCTAATGAAAAAATTCTTAAAAAATACAATAATTGTCTTAAAAAAATTACTTATTAAAAATTATTAAAATTTTAATAATGAATTAAAATTATGTTGTAACTTAATAATATTTCTATAAATTAAAATTATGTCAAGATATAATAAAACACGACATAATAGAATTTTTATTATGTCGTAATAATTTTAATTCGTCTAATTTTATTATGTTGCGACATAATAATTCATAATAAATTAAAATTATGTCGCGACATAATAATAATTATGAATTTCTATTATATCATACATAATATGATCGCAAAGATCTACATATTTCGGGTCGATTCCGGCGCGCGACTTCCTCTATCGCTCGAGGCTTAGCAGCCGAGCCGTCGGATGCTCATGTGACGCTCTGGTTCAGGAGTGTCTGTCTCAGTAGCTTAAACATGCGGAGATCGTACTTTACGTTATTAAAGAATATTTTTCTTGCAAAATAATTTTTATTTTCTTAAAAAAATCAAATACTAAATTTTCTAACACATATAAAGATTACGCATTTCGTGAGTTTCTTTCGTGTCCATGGTTCTTCCAGATCCATCCAGGGCGAGAAGCAGTCTGATATTGTACAGTGCCTAATACAGTATCAGGCTGCTCCTCGCCTTGATGAAGTGAAATGCAAGGTTCACGAAACGTTGGCATTCCAAGAATGGATTTGGACACGGAAGAAATCCGTAAAACGCATAATCTTTATATAGAAAGGACCCGTGGAGTCTCAAGAATACATTTTGTCATAATAATTCTTGCTTACCAGAAACTATTTAATAATTGTTATAAATTTACATCGAGAAGTTTCTATAACAGACTTGCGAAGATTGAAGTCTGGAAATTCCATACAAAATCTTACAAAGTCTTAAGTAACAAGGACATTATATCGCAATAACTGTTTTCTTTTATAAGCGAATATAATTTTATTATTTTAAGTTCTTGATTAACGATTAATTGTTAACATTCTCTTTAATATAACACCGTCTTTATATAAGGTACGACCTCTGCACGTTTAAGCTACAGAGATGCTCCTGAGTCAGAGCGTTAGTGAGCGGCTCGGCTGATAATGAGCCTCGAGTGATAGTGGAGATCGCGCGGCGGAATCGACCCGAAATGTGCAGATCTTTGTGAGCACTGCTATAAACTGTAAATTAAACAAACAAGAACTTAAATTTTTACCTTTTAACAAATTATTAAAAAAGCTATGACTTTTCCCTTCAATTATTTATTAAATTATAATGTACAAAATTTGTGATTGCTCAAAAATGCTATTTTCTTGAAAAAAATTCACAAAAAATTTATATATAAATAACAAATATTTTTAAATCTCATGATAAATTTAGAAAAAATTAAAAAAAATTATTTAATTTAATT